ACGATATCGATGTCGTTAAAATTGTACTAAAACGATAAAGGTATCGTATGTATCAAATTTATGAAATGACATAATGACATTCATATTGTTTTAGTACAAATTTGATGAGTTTGAAATCATTCCAATTCAAATCATATCTATAATGACATAGATATCGTTTCCTTTCGTATAAAATGATAATTATATCGTTTTGGCAAAAAAAAAAAAAAACGATTCGATCGTTCACAGCCACCTATACGTCTTCAACATACGTAGGACGATAAAAAAATGTCATCAAGTGGGTTGATATCACTCGAATTATTTAAAAAGAACGAACGAAGATACTTTCTTTCGTTGGAATAGTTTAAATGTTGTATATAATTACGGGAACACAAATGTTCCCATAGTTTCTTCGAGCGAGATCGATCCTACCTGATAACCTATTTCGATCATCCTATATTTGTCGATGCATATCGTGTAATGCCCCCCAAAATTTTCATATAATAGAATTTCAATTTTGTGTGCTATATCTTGATGTTTTGAAAGTTAGGGACTAAAATGATATATAGAAATTTCAATTTTNAAAGTTAAAGATATGATATTTTATGTTATGATGTTATGGCCATTCCGGTACAAATGATATGATATGAGCTCTTACCGGTTTCTAAAGATATGATGACGGTGTGATTTTCTTGATGCATGATTTAAATATTTTATTCGGGATTGCACCATATTTTTAAGTTTCTACTGAGTATTCCCATGTACTCACCCTTTTCCCTACTCCTCACAGGTTAGAATGGGTCGTTGGTTGGAGGGCGATGAGGTGCAGTCGTAGTGCTAAGATTTATGGGACACAGTAATATAAAATCAGTGTAACGTGCCTTAAATTTCAAATTTAGCAGAAATCTTTAGTTTAAATTTATTAGACTCGTTAAATTGATTTTTGGACATATGGGACAATTTATTTGGTCATGTAATTTCATATGATGACTTGAGAATTTTAATTTGTTTATGATATTTGGTGATTATCTTGCTATTTATGTTTTCTGCAAATAAATGATCCATCTGTATTAGAGTTTTCAAGAATGTGCAACCTAGTAGTTTTTAATTTGGTGAATCATATAAGATGTGTAGATCAAAATGAAATTTGACATTTCCGTATAAATAGTTTTGGTAGCGATTTAAATTCTTAAAATTTGGGTCATTACATATCGGGTGGTCGTAGACGATCGAATAATCATTTTTAGTAGAAACGATATAATTATCGTTTTATATAAATTAAAACGATATATATGTCGTTTTAGTTATGATTTAAACTGAAATGATATCAATATCGTCTAAATTGTATTGAAATGATAATGATATAGTTATGCATTAAACCCACGAAATAACATAACATCCATATCGTTTTAGTACAAATTTGACGAGTTTGAAATCGTTCCAATTCAAATAATAACTACACGACATAAATATCGTTTCTTTTCATACAAAACAATAATTATATCGTTTTGACTAAAAATTGTTCTGATTTGAATTGAAACTATATCAATATCTTCAAATTGTATTGAAATGATATGGGTCAATTATGTTATTTCATGGGTTTGATGCATAACGATATCAATATTGTTACATAATAAATAAAACGATATATATATATACAGAAATGATCTAATGAGCACCGGTGCTCATCTTATCCTAAACACCAATGAGTTGGCACATTAATTCATTGGTGGATTGGAACTCACAAAATCTTTATCCACCAATGAATTAATGTGCCAACTCATCGGTGCTTAGGATAAGATGAGCA